CAAGGCAAGTGTCCCATTGGGGGCTTTTATGACTGAAAGCATTCTACAAGAGATTGAAGGAATGTCATTATTGGTTTAGAACTTACGTGGCCAAGGCTATGACAATGGGAGTAATATGAAGGGTAAAGACAATGGTGTACAAAGGAGAATAATAGAAATTAATCCTTGGGCCTTTTTTGTTCTTTGCAGTACACATACTCTGAATTTGGTTGTCAGTGATGCTGCCAGACGTTGTTTGGAGGCAAGTAGTTTCTTTGACCTAGTGCAACTCGTTTGTGTGTTTTTCTCAGGTTCAACACGCTGTTGGGAGGTTCTTAGTCACTTATGTGCCCTCTAACTGTGAAACCATTGAGTGAAACAAGATGGGAGAGTTGAATTGCAGCCTCTTCACTAGGAGCTTGGCAATCAATATCTATGGTGTACTAATTGAAATTTCTGATGATACCACCCTCACAGGATCATCTGACAATATGAGACATGCTGATACAGAAGCTCTTGCAAATGGCCTTTCCAAGTTCAAATTTGTGGTTTCAGTCATTTTGTGGTATAACATCCTTTTTGAGATTAGCCTTACTAGTAAGCAACTTCAGGCAAAGGACTTTGACATACATTCTGCTATTCGACAACTGAAACAAACCAAAAAGTTTCTGGAGGAATGCAGTGATAAAATGTTTGAAAAGATGCTGGTAGATGTTCATGAGCTTGCTGAAGAGTTAGAGCAACCAGTAAACTTTGAACCAGAACCAGTATGCATCTGGAGAAAGAAGTAGCAGTTCACATATGAAATGAGTCAGCTCAGGACCCAAAACAAAAATTCAAAATAAATTTCTATTTTGCAGTCCTTGATACTGGATTACAGTCGGTTAAAGAGCAATTTGAACAGATACAGCAGCTTGATTCAGTCTTTGGTTTCCTCTATAATGTCCCCAGTTTGCAAAATAAGACATTATAACAGATAATGGAACATTGCTTGAAGCTAGAGTTGGCATTACAGCGTGGAAATTCTAAAGACACAAATCACTGCACAAATCTGATGCTGCAGATTTGTGCAATGAACTGCAGGCAATTTCATGATGACTTCTAAAGTGTCTTGTACCTCAAGATGTGCTGAAGTTTATATCTGAACATAAACTGACAGACAGTTTTCCCAACATCTTCGTTGCCCTCTGCATTCTCTGGATTCCCCCAGTTTCTGTTGCTAGTGGGGAGTTTAGCTTCTCAGAGTGAAAATTGATAAAGACTACCTTTGTTTTTCTATGCTGCAAGAGAGACTTTTTGGATTGGCCACCGTGTCGATAGAACATGAGACAGCTGGAAAACTTTGTCTTAAAGAACTTGTTTCTGAATTTGCAAAACTGAAAGCACAAAAAGCAAAGTTCGACTCTTTTACACAAATGTACTATTATAAGAAAATCCTCATGAACATGTATTATAATAAATTCTATTAGAGTTTTTGCAGTATAATTGTGTTAGAGTTAATGAAAAGTGTGAAACAATGAATAAAAAAATTTTGGTTTTATTGTTTTATTGTTCATTTCAAGTATCAAGTACGTGTAAAAGTTCATTCTAGACTTATTTTCCTCTATATTGGAAGTGGTGGGGGCGTTGAGGTACACAGTTCGCCTAGGGCGCGAATCACCCTTGGACCAGCTCTGGATCTCATAGGCAGTAAACTATCAACATACCTAAATCCCTTTACAAATCTAGGTACTGGGAATGTGGAAGCTTAAGTAACTGCTGATTTCCCTGAGTCTTTTGCTTCTAATGCTATATCTTCATGGAAAACCTACAGCCTTAGGTGTGCTGGATACCCCAAACAGGCTACCATCTAAACCTGAATGCATCCACCTCCATATGGGTAGGCTAATTTGGTTCTGTCATTAATTAACCTGACCCAAGCAGCATGCTAAGGTGACTACACTGCTTCCTGTTTAGGAGCCAGTTGCAAATATTTGAACGGCTTTAATAAAAAAGATGTTTTCTGGAGCCACAGAGGGCAGGGTATATGCCAGTGGGTTTAAGCTACAGCAGGGATTTAAATTCTCAGGAAAAAACTTCCTAGATAAAAAAACAAAAAAACACTAGGACAATAGAATAAGCAGCCACAGACAGAAATTGTGGAATCTTTGTCTTGTCTAACTTTCAAGAAGAGGCTGGATAGACATCTATCAGGGATGGTTAGATTTAGTGTATCGTGCTGTGAACCTAAGGGTTCCTTCCAACCCTGTGGTTCTATTGTTCTGTTTTCATTAATGAATTTGAAAGAAGGGGCAAGAGTATATTAATGAAATTTACTGATGATGCAAAAGTCATGAGCCAGTGTTAATTCAGAGGGTACTGGAATATCATACAGGGAGAGTTGACTGGATTTGTGGACTGGAGTAATAGAAATGAAAGGAAATGATTTAGTATAAATACAAGGTCATCTAGGTCATCCAAGTAAGAATTTCTGTTGTAAATAGGGAGCTCATCATAGGAGCATAATAGAGAAAGACAGAGACCTGGGTGTGTTAGTCACACACAGAGTGACTGTAAGCCACCGATATCGTTTGAACATGAAAAAGGCAAATACATTATATCAGGAAAGATATTTTGAGTCAAGATATGGAAGCATCTGTGTCGTTGTACAAGTCCCTTGTGAGGCCTCATCTGGAATACTGTGTATAGCTGTGATCAGTCATGTTCAAGAAGGATTAATTCAGACTGGAACAGGTGCAGAGAAGGATGCGAAGACAGCTGGAGGAATGGAAAGTCTGTCTTCCAAGAGAAGACTGAACCAAGTTGACTTAATTAGTTTAGCAAAACTAAGGGTGATGGAGGGCATGACTGCACTGTACAAACGCAAAAGTATAAACATAGAGGAAGAATTACACACAAAAACAAATGGGTATAAGGTGACTAAAAATAAATTAGGAGAAGGTTTCTAAACATCACAAAAGTGAGTTTCTTGAACATCCTTCTACTCAGAATAGTGTGGGTAAAAAACCTTAGTACCTTTAAGGTGGAGCTTAATACCGCTGTGGTAGACAAGTAACGTTGGCTGCATCCGGATGATCTTGGACATTTGGTTCCCTGGGAAAAAGAAGCAGCAGCATACCTTGTGCTGCTGCTGCTTGTCCCCAGGGAACATCCATGCCACGTGGCATGCAGTAGTTTACCTTGGGTGGGGTAGGGGAGGCTGGGGCCAGCAATTGTGCTGGCCCCAGGAGCCTTACCTGGGGTCCTGGGGGCTGGAGAAACTGCAACTACGGAGCTCCCACAACTTAGAGCCTGGATAGCTACCGGAGCATGTCTCCGGCAGGCCAGGCTCTGGTTTTGGACAGCACATGTTGCAGCCATGTGTATGGCCCCGGTTTTTTCCGCATGCGGGGTTTTGTTTTGTTTTTTTGACTCTGGGATCTCCCAGGGTCAAAAAAACAAACAAAAAACCCCCAATGCTGTAAGGTAGCAGCACCAGAAGTGCCCGAAGGATGCAGCCCTTTTGTTGACAATGGATTTCAACAGTGGATTCTTGGTGGAGTCTGAGGTCCAGATCCAATACCATTAGTTTGGCACCTAAATGTAATCCTGTTCCCTCTCCCTCCCCTCCCCCTTTTCTACCACCCTTTTACTCCTTGAAAATCTGTTAACACAACTGTTGGGTGGGTCCTGCTCCTTGCTGCTTTTCTGTGACTTAGTTGTAAGGATAAGATGACAACATGCTTCAAAAATAGGTACATTAATAGATATTTCCGGGACTTGAATAGGGTGGAAAAGGAGTGCTCTTGGAAGCTTTAGTCCATTTAGGTACCTAATAGGTGGAGTAGGATCTAGCCTTAACTGCTGAAAATAATTTGTCAGATAGCATAAGTGGGATAAAACGTGATAGAGGTAGTTGGAACATTGTGTATCTATCTCATTCTATAGAGTTTTGCTTGCAGTACAAGTAGAACCATATCAGGACACCAGGTTACAACACAGTTACAGTTTAATACAGTAAACTAGTATGTACATCAGTGGTAAACTCAAGGCACCCCTGGGAAAATGCCAGCTCTCAGTTCTCACTTGTTTCTTGACCATGGAAAAATAGAGCTCTTTTTTTCTGTTGCAAGGAACTCAGAAAGAACACTGCAGGTCAGATTTTTTTTAACACTCTGGATTCCTATTTGAAACCTCTGGGTTTGTCTTGTGAATCATATTTGCACACTTAAGTGTGCCACTGCTTGGCACCCCACAGCACCCTTGAAAGGATTTCAAGTCACTTCAGAGTGCCATAGCGCTTTTGTTGGAAGTCACTGAAGTAAACACTCACAACATTTTAAAAGGTTTCTGTTATCATATAAATACATGTACACATACACACAGAATACCCTTGCATATGTATTATGTACTTATACACACACGTACCCACACACAGAGTATATTACATGAACATTTGTGTTTTGTACTTGGCAACTTTAATTCCAACACAAAAATGTTTAATGAAGTACCAGATTCGCAGGAATAATAATGTTTTTTTTCTTCAACATTTCCAGGTCTGGCCTCTGCTTTCCCAAAGACCTAAGCCAGTGAATCTGCATCCAGAAAAACACTTAAGTATTCAAGAAAATATTATCATCGACAGTGAAAAAAATAAAGGCTGAAACACCTTTTTTGTAGTGCAGAACAACATTATTTGTTTTTTTTCTTTGTTTATCAGCTTGTGACATCCAGGCTAGAACTGGTATTAGAGAACTGGTTAATATAGAAAAATGGAAGAAAAAATATTAAAAGTCACTGCAGAGAGAAGTTTAGGTAACCAACCCAATTGCAGCTACCTTGAGATGCATGGATAAAAGGGAGTCTATTAGGATCTCTGTACACTAGGAATACTGACCTGTTTTTGATAATTATAGCCTTTTAAATTAATACAGATTTCAAATATAGTATAGCAAGACTGAATGCAATAAGTGCTTCATGAATGAAAATTATGTTAAATTGACTAAGTGGGTGTTGGCCAGTTGAGATAGTCACCTAATAGTCTGAACAGTTTTTGTTTTCCCTTTATTTGCCCAAGTCATAAAAAGCAAATAATAAGAAGTAATTATCAGCACTACAGGGGTGTGATAGCTATTGAAAGAGGGGTATGGACGGGAAGTGGAAAAAAACAGTAACAAGTGACACAACTATACAATAATAGGGTTTGTGGAAGAAGTCAGTTTGACATTGAGGGTTAATATTAGATATTGGATCTGAGGGGGGAGCAATTGTCATGTCTAAATGATTCATGTTGTAAAAGTAATAATAGTAATTGGTTTATTTTCACAGTGGAGCTGCCAGGAGAAGCCAACATCTGCTGTGTGTGGTTCGTTTTTAATCCCATCTTTTCCCAGGGGGAAAAGTCGTGTGACCAAATGGGATTTTATTAATTTTTAAAATATAATTTACACTGTGCTATGTGTTTATATTGTGAAATAAAGGTCAAAGTATAGTAGTGTTGGGAGCAAGCAGTAGTGAAGTATGCTGGAGTTCATTCTAGTGCCTTGGTCTTCTGTGCAGACAAAAACAGTTTAGCTCTACCTAAGAAGTGAAGCATCAGGCATAGTGACTACCCAGGAACTTTAGGTAGTCCTTTAGGTATTCTGATCTCAAGCCACTGAGCTTTGAAGATTGGGATTTAGATCTTAAATTTGACATGGTATCCTATGGGGAGCCAGTGCAGGGAGTGGAGGATAGTTGTATAAAAACCTGCATCTTTGCATGTTTTGTGTGCATGTTTGTAGGTATATATACCCATATGCTTAAAAGAGCAGTTCTTCATAGAATTTACGTAAAGGAATATTATTCTTAAGCCCATGCAAAAGAAGAAACATTTAGTTAATCTTGCCATTTTTCTTATTAACAGTAATCCTAAAAAACCCTGTAAATTGTAGCCTTTATACAAGAACTCAATGAGTTTTAATTGCACACAAAGTTTGGAGAGTCTGCATTAATTTATTTTTTTTTAATATTTTTAGGCATATAGAATAGTTTGACATACAGTGCTAAATTTCTTAAGCTGTTTTTAATGAGCTTTAACTCAAAAAAACTATTGAATTACTTTATTGTGAAGTCTCAGAAAATTAATTCTGTAATTTTAGGGAGAATCTGTATTCTATTTATGCAACAATGGCAGAATCCCCTTTTTAAATGGAAAACTCAAATGAAATTTTAGAAGTGTGATTAGTGCTTCCATTATAAAAGATACTATCTCCAAAAACACATTGAGGAATGCATTAAGGTTTCAAGATCAAACAGGCAAAGGCGCCGTCTACATTTTATAGGTATTGTGCAATGAACTGGCTCATTACACAATTACCTTGAGACCAGGTACACATGCAAAGTACCTAGCACACCATAAAAAGCTCCAAAGAGCTATGAAGTTAGACCTTGAAAATGTGTACTAATTTTATAGCTGGTTGCTACTAAATTTCAATTTGCATGTATAGCAGGGTCTCCCCTGACCAGGCAAGCCGGCAGGACTCCCAGCCTCGAGGTGCACCATGCCTACCCAGGGCTGCAAGTCCTGCAACTGAAGTGATTCTCAGCCCCAGCAGCTACAGATATTGGGTCCTGGAAGTGTGTCTCCTGGTGCCAGGACTCAGCTGGGTCCTGGCAGCCAAAGGGCACAGGTGCGATCTCCCAGCCATGGGGGTGTGTGAAGCCCCCAATGCTGGGAGATGTCAGCTCTCTCAGTCTCCCAACCCCAGGGGTGTGTGGAGTCCCTGCAGCTGGGAGATCATAGCTGCCACGATCTCCCAGCCCTAGGGGCTCCATGTACCCCCACAGCTGGGAAATCACAGCTGCTGTGACCTCCCAGCTGCAGGGGTGTTTTGGGCACCCCCAGAACTGGGAGCCCCTCAACTGAGAAGGCTCCCAGCCACGGGAACTTGCTAATGCAGGGGGAGCCCAGGATTAGGCTTTCCCTGAACTGGCAATGGCACTATGGAATATAAGGCATGATCCCACAGTTTTGCCTTGTGCCATACATGTGTGTCATGGCAGGAGGTGTGATTGTGTGGATCATGAATTAGATCCCATAGCGCTTTTACCTGCATGTGTAGAGGGGCCCAAAGTTAAAGAATGTCATCAGGGCAGTCTTAATTTGGCCCTTCAGCATGTATGTATTATGCTATAATCTTTAATTGCACAATTATATACTGTTCCTCCCCCCGCCCAAGATCTCCAACTCATTCAGTGAATGGGTACTTATTCAGAATTGCTTTTAATGCTTCTCATTGATTGTTTTGGCTCCCAGCACTTATTAAATAAATGGAATACAAATCCTACACCAAATGCAAAATTATTGCTATCTTAATGTGCATGTGCTGATGTCACAGTATTTGTGTGCTCCTTAAGTACACTCGGGTCTCTTTATGCAAGGGTTGCATTCCAGAAAAACCTTGCATAAAGCAAATTTGCATAAAGCGAATCCATTATTACATGTAATTAATAGGGATATGCACCAGCCTCACTACTATCCCCCCAACCATAACAAATTCAAACAGTAATTTTATTTATTTATTTTTTATTTAATTTGTGTCCGAGGCCAAATTAGGCAAAACTAATTCTAAATCCAAGATTCCAGAACCATAAGTGGCCCTACTACTGGCAAACATCCTCCACCTGCACCTGGGGCTTCAGATGTTTCCAAAACTTCTGGTAGGCATCCTACTTGCAGGCCCAAGCCTGGAGGCTTGGGGTTTGGATGCCCCCTGAGTTTTGCTTTCCCTTAGCCATAAGGCGCTCGGAGCAAGCAAGGGAGGAGACTTACATTTCCATAAACTGGGTTTAAAGCTGCTGCACCTCGGTGGGTACTGAACCATGCCAGAAGGGCAGTTCTCCTGCGAAGCAGTTCAGGAAAACTGCCTTCTTGGACACAAATACATGGCATTTCCCCTGCCAGGTTAACAAGCCACTGTGCTTGATCTGAGCCTTCAAGAGGACAGTAGTCACACAATGCAACAAAACTGGTGCATGGAGAGGCTGCAAACTTTGCACTGCAAGTAGCAGCATGTGCAGGGGATGCGTCACCAGGGCAGAGCAGGGTGAGCTGGAGAGGCACCCAGGGGCAAGAAGCAGAGCAGCAGGGAAGGCTGGCTGCTCGCCGCTACTGGCTCCCTGGCTCCGCCCTGTTTCTCTTCTCTGGGTGCCTTGCCAGCCTGGCAAGCGCAACCCGTTGCAGCTGGGAACAGGGGGGATGCACAGAGAGGCTACAAGCTCCCTGCTGCACCAGGTCATGATAGCCAGGCTGCAGAGGCACCCAGGGCAGGGAAGCTGGGAACAGCTTGGTTGCGTGGAGTAGGTACTCACCCTGTGCTGCAAGCCCAGCGGGCATGACCTGGTGCAGCAGGAAGCTCGTAGCTTCTCTGCACAGTCCCACTATTCCCAGCCACACCAGATAGCGCCTGCCAGGCTGGTGAGGCACCCAGGGCTGGGAAGCAGGGCAGCAAAGAATGGCAGCTGCTTGTCCTGCACTACCCTTGTCCTGCACTACCCTAGGGATGTGCCTCCTGTGCCTGCTTTTTGAGGGGCACAGCCCCATGCCACAGGAGCTCCCTGGCTAGGGCAGTGGGGTGTAGGATGCTGGGACCAGGCAGGGAGAGGAGCTGAGCCAGGACCAGGGCCAGGGCCTACTGTGCCCATGTATCTGCCTCTTCCCCTTGGAAGTGTGTGCAGCAGCAGGGAGCTGGCCTTCCTCCTCCCCCAATGAGCCACCAGAGGCTCTGTCCTGCTCCCTGCTGGGGCTCTGCAGCTGCACGCTGTGCCCCAGGTCCCAAGCAGCCCCATCCCTGCCCAGCTCCCTCTCCACAGGGGCCTCAATCCCCCTTTCCCCACCCCCCCTTATTTGCCATAGCTGCCCTTGAGGCTACTTGGGGCCCTGTGCACGTACACCACATGAATGTGGTGTCCCATCTCCCCGCCTTCCTTCCACTTCCCAGCTCCCTGCCAGCCTGCGGGGAGCTCATTGCCAGCTGGCTTCGCATAAGATTGGATTTTTCTTGCACAAAGCGAATTTCTGGTATAAAGTCATTGTATATAAGCAAATTTGCACAAAACAAAATTTGCATAAAGAGAGACCTGAGTGTATTAATGATTTAATCTGCACAACATTTTTGTGATGAGGTAGTAGAATCCCCAGTTTTACACATTTGGAACCAAGCCACAGGGTCAGATTGCTGAGTTTTTGTAGACATCTCTGACTGGACTTCTTATCATGCCCCAAAGCATCCCAGTTCCATCACCCATGCTTCTGTCTCCCACATAACCCCTCCTGCTATCCAGTTTAGTGCTGAGGAGATGTCTAATTCCCTTTGTTAGCCTAGCTCCAAGCCCTTCTAACTGACACTGACAGCATTCAGTTCAGTTTCAAAATAACAGGGATAATGTGCTACCCACTTTTTGCTCTCAAAATACAGGGATTAGAGCACTTACCCAGGAAGCGGGAAACCTGGATTCTAGCTCTCCTCAGCCTGAGGGGATTCCAGCCCACATCTCTCATTTCTGAGGAAAGTGCTATATATATCTTTTATAGATGGATATATCCCATATATATGGGACATATCCAGATATATAGTGGTTGGATGGGGCACTTACCATTCCTTTTTGACCTGTATCACTGGGTAGCCACGAGTGCAAGAGCCTTGGGTCAGAAGACCAGGCAAGAGCCTGGCTTTGTAGCCTAATGTTTATGGCACTCTCCTGGACAAGGGAGACCTGGCTTCTAAACCCTGCTGTCATGGTTATTTCTCTTTTATTAACTGGTGATTGTCTCATGTAAAAAGCATAAACACTCCTAGCTATGTTAAACCCCATCAGCACCTCTGTGTCCCATTTCTTTGCATCTGCCAAAGCTGTTTCTTCTTCACCTCAACGCTGCCTGAGTTGATGGGACCATAGAAGAGGTAGGCTCTCAGGACTATAGTGGACCCTAGTAGCTATAAACAGTAACTAAAAATTCGATTCAGCCTCTTCAGCCCTGGGATGGAGCGTGGTCAGTCACGCTGTGGGGATGAGATATGTACGGTACCTGGGCATGTGGGAATAAGGGTATACTGCACATCAAATGCTGAGGGACTTAAGAAAAAAACTTCGTTGCTAACATTTACAAAAAAATCACTACACACCATGTACAAAATATGACCAAATGTGGATAGTTTTCAGTGGGTAGCAAAATGCACAAGGCTGGCATTAGGATGATAGCCCCTCCCTCCTGCCAGATGTTAAATCTTTGCCCCACAGAATGCATAGAGTAGATCTCAGTTTAAATTACTTGAACTGTTTTAACCTGGGCAAAATGTATTTTTTCCTAAGATCTGAACCATTTTAGCTGAAATGTTCGAAGAATTAATCTGCCCAAGATAGGAAGCCAGGATGGAGAAATTTGGCCTAACTAGTTAAAGTTTGTCAGAATTATAAACAGATGAAAACAGGGTCTTATAAATTAAGATTGTCAAGCAACTTGAACTACAGGTACCCTAACAACTCTACTTCAGATTTACATAAATGCCCATTGTGTGTGAAATTTCTCTGGTCTGTTGGCATGGGGCTGCCTACCCTGCCTCTCGCACATCAGGCAGAATAAAAGCAACATTGAACCAGCCTGTGGACTACAAAGCCCTACATTATTAAAGAACAGGCTGAGTATCACAGCTACAGCAAAACTTCAAATCACTGAAAACTAGAAGTGGATGGAAGAGACCTATTGAGCCCTCTGTCCAGCTTCTTCACAGGATTGCTTACCAAAATAGATGGCACAGTGCAATAGTGCATGTTAGAGTTCCATTATTGAAATCTTGAAAAGATGGCTCAGACTAGCATTCAAAATATTCAGCTATTTAACAGAATGTTCAGCAGCTGTTCAACCTATATTTTCCCACTTCTAATTACTCCTTTGTGGACCTCCTTGTACTCCCCTAAATAATAGAAAGTTTCTCCTTGTTTATACCTTTCAAATATATTCGTAGAGCAAGCTGAGCATAATCATAAGATGGTACCCCAAATCCTTTAGTCATAGCTTAGTTGAGCTGTACATGTTTAATCTTTCTAATCTTTCCTTGTGAGTCAGTTTCTCCAGCCCCCGGATCTCTTTTTTTGTTACTTTTGTCTGAACTCCTTCCAGTTGCTGAGATCTTTCTGGTAGTATGCCCAGAACCTAATGCAGAATTCCAGGTGTGGTCATACTAGAACCATACAGAGGGGAACTGCTACTCTTCCTGCTCCATGACATTGTTATTCTGATTGTGCAGCTTAAATCAGTATTGGTCTTTTTGCCGAGTGTGTGTTGCAAACTTGTGATGAAATTTCTATTTGTTATTTTTAGTATCAATATTATCAACATCATGGCTTTCAGGTTTC